ACACGTATGAAGTGGGTGGCTTTCCCACCAACTTGCACATGTGACTCGCAAACCTCCCTCCTTTCTTTTCTCCTATCAAATCTGTCGCCTCGCCGCCTGCCTCAACATTATTATTCCAAAAACGCATACTTTCTTTGCTTTCCTCCTAATGACAATATAATATCCTCCCACGAAAAAACATAGTTATCACGAAGCCTCACCACTTTGTGGGCCATTATCAGATAAGGGCATTTTTGGGCCCGAGTATTATTCGGACTAACTAGATTGCTTATACATTTTTGATAAGTGTACATCAATCAGAGAATAGTTGGTTGGTTGGTTGTGGGTTATTATCTTGAAAATCATAAAACTATAGTACGTGGTGGATGTGCCACGTTGCTTATCCCTGTAAGAACCAAATCAGATAGGTACCCAATGACGGCTGTTGCGTCTCATTTTGTTTCATCTCTCTTTTAAATGCTTTTTACTCTATTAGCCAAATTCCTAGTCTTTGCTTCCATATCCTTTCCCTTTCACTAATCCAACATTAGCATTAAGAAGAATACCTTACTTATCCAAATATCCTTCCATCTTTAATCCTTAGCATTTATTTTCTTTACCCTTTTATTTTTTTCAATTTAATATTATCTGCAATAATAGAATCTTTCCTTTTCTTCTTTTTTTAAAAGATAAATATTAGGTAAATAGTCAGTTTTTGAATTTTGATGTTTTCTTTAACCCAAAATACTGAAACCCTTGAAAGCAATTCCGACTAACTTTTAATTATACTTAACAAAAAGGAGTTGCTTTTTATTAAAAATAAAATCCAGATGATTATTCTAATTAGGCACTCTAGAAGAGTCCATCTCCTTCTGTCCCCTCTTTCTCTCTCTTTTTCCACCTGCATACGGTTCAAACAGAAATAAGGATGCAAGTACAGGGGTATAACTGTACATGTCATATTCAAAAAAATACTTTTTTTAAAAAAGGGCTGAAAATCCATATTATCGAGGGTTGCTTTCTGCATCCCGAAACAGTCCTACTGACACATCTCTGCTGCTATGCCCCACACTCTCTGTCTCCATAAAATTCCCGCCTTTTTCAGCTACGGCCACGTCATTTCCCTATCTCTTTTATGCCCATGTGGCACTCATAGCCACCCTGTCACCTCTTCAAAACCATCTAGATTAAATCCAACGGTTCTTCATCCATCTATTGACAAAGACAATATCTTAGAAGGGACCCACTTTCCATATAAAAGAAACGAAAAATAAAAAATGAACGAAAGTCCAGAGCCTTCTCAACTACGCTGCCGCGTGCTCTTTAGAGAAGAGACAAAGAGTATTTATAGACCCCAACAAACCATTTGGTCTGTCACAATGTAGTTCCTTTTCTCTCTTTCTTTTCTCTCTGATTATTACAGGAAAAGTAAAATATGGAGGAAACTAGAAAGAGGGATGGGTCTGATGGGGATAATACTGCTGTCGAAAAATTACTAACTCCGGCGGTTTCTGACAGTTCCGGCGATCTCGGTGACGATATAGTGGCTTGGCTTTCGATGGACGATGACACAGTTAATGAGCTTATGAAGTTTCTTGATACAGACCCAGATGGAGTTACTACTAGTTGTACTAATACAAAAGTTAAGTTCATTGAAAGCCCATACTCGTCGCCGTTGATTTTTCAGTCTTCTTCTTACATCACCATCAACGGCAACGAGGAAAGTTGCGGTTCTTCTTTCTCTGACTGGGAGTCATCGGTTATGGCAAGCGTAGACATGGGTGGGATTCTGAATGCTGGAAAAGTGGGTAGCATTGATGGATTTTGCGAGTTATTTCAAGGTGGGAGGTGTGGCGCGTTGGGGTCAAATGAGGTGGAAGAGGCGCGTGGAGTAAGGATGGCAGATGGTGATGGTAATGGTGAGAGATTAATGGACGATGGTTTTGATTGGGAATTGAACGGTGACAGTCCGGTGTGGTTTGTAGTCGAAGGCTTTTGTTGACCGCTGAGTAAACGTGGAAACCATGGGATTTTGTAGTTAAAGGTATTATAAACATTTTGTTTAATTAGGCAGTAGTGATTAATTGTTAATGGTGATTAGTGATTAGTGGGGTGAGCCAGCGGTGGTCAATGGACTTTATTTCTTAGTAATAGAAAATCAATACAATACAAATATATTTTGGAATGGTAAACAGAAAAGACAAGCTTTGTAATTGATGATCGTTAGGCCTTTTTTTCCTTTTTTTCTTTTTTTTTTTTGGTTCCGGCTAAAGAGATGATATTTTGGTTGCGGTTTTTGGGCTTAAAGTAAATTTTATGGGATCAATGAGTCACCAAATAGACTTTCTTTCGCGACCAAATATATAAATTCATATCTGAAATTTTTAATCCCTCGAATTCAAATTTTGTAAGAAATTATAAATTTTTAATCCCTCGAGTAGGCTCACGCATTTGAAAATTTTAATCGTCCCACTACAGTATTTGGATCATAGTCATACTATTTCTTCTCTTTTTTTTTTTTTTTTTTTAGTATTGGATCATAAGTTCATACTATTTCTTCTTTTTTTTTTTTTTTTTTTTAACTCAGAATATTAGTCCCATGCCCAAATGACTAGGCTCGTTGGCAAGTTATAGCCGCAACAATGGCTGCTGATGGGCCATTTCCTAAAGTTATCGAGTACAACTGAAGGCCCAACGGCCCGTGATTGATCTCTATAACTCTTTTGGAAGAAATGAAATACGTTTTAACTACAGTGCGGGAGATCTGGGTTGGGCTTAGACAAAACATGGTAGAATTGTGAAGGCCCAATATTCTTCGGAATCTTATAGCCTCGCAATTGGACTAAACATTGGCCATACAGTTCATAAAAAATAATTTAAAAAAAGAGCAATTTATTTAGTGATTTTTTGAGTACAAATAGAGAGCAAATCTTAAAAAAGAAAAAAAAAAAAAAAAAAAAAAAAAAAAAACAGAAAGACGAACGATTACACTAGTCACGAATTAAGACGAGGAGGAGGAGCATTATGGCGATCAAATCAAATCATGTAGAAATTGGGCATGATTAGGAAAAGCTAAAACAAATTAAAATTAATCTTAAGACAATTTGTAAAAAGGCAAATTGATTAAGGAAGACAACTATTGGGACATAATAAATTGCACTGGATTTTAAATTTTTACCTTGCAATCATCTAACCCTAATTGACAACATTTATTATAAAAAGGATTATGCAGCTTATAAGGACGATGACCCATCATTACTAACAGATTTATGACCAATTTGACAACAGAGTAGCCTGATTTGGACATGAAATTATGGGTCCGATTCAGTGAAAATGAGAACAAACAAAATGGTTTCATTTTTCAGCTAAGGAAATAAAATTTCATCAAATATGAAAATATCATTCCTTTATATCGTTTAAATAATACAGATTTAATTACAAAACGTGTCTTTTCCACATTTAATTAAAGCGTGCCACTCTTATAAAATTAAATTTTGATTTGTTTTTGTACATTGAAATTTTTAAAAGAAAAAACAATTTCTTAAACAGTGTGAAATAAAATATTGGATTATTAATTTATTATTATTGACCAAGATACACAATTTTCCAAAACTAGCAGTAAACAAAGTCTTAATTATGATTTCACTACCTTTCCTTGCTCTTCGTTAGTTATTTTTGCTCCATTTCCGGCAAGTCCAAATTATAATCTTTCCTTTTTCAATTTTTTGGTGGCCAAATCTTACACGTGAGAATGACCCAAATGATGGTCAAACTAATCCGTAATTTGGACATGACAACTCTTAAATTCTGGAATTTAAGACCCTTTCATATTAACTACTACCTCTCAATTAGAAGATTTTTGCTACTTTCTTTAGAAAAATTTATAAGATATTTCTCTCATTTATTTCATTTTCATAATAATTACCATGTTTGTGAAAAATGATTTTTTTCAAATATTTGTTGCATTTGTGGTTCCGATGAGTAATAAATCTTTTTTTTTCATATTTACCCTTTGTATATAACCAATAATTATTACTTCGATTTAATGATTTTCTTAGAAAATTAGTATTAAATTAAGGATAATATAGTTAATTTATTTAATAATTTATTATAATTTAGATAAATTTAATATTTTTTTAAGGAATATGAAATTTCAAATTTGACAAGTATTATGAAACAATGAAAGAATTTTTATTTTCCTATCATTGAGTTTTGATTTGAATTGAACTTTCTTAGTCTATTACATAAAAAAGAGGTGTTAAAAAATAGGTAAGAGTATTGAGAAATGGAACTTTTACCTCCTACCATCTAAGACATTTTTTTTTTTTTGAGCAAAATTATTGATTTACAAAAATATATAAATAATATTTTTTTAACTGTGAAATAATATATGAGTCCATTCTTACAATATCTACATATGCTCGAGCATGTTCAATCCTGAATTTATATTGCAAATGTGTAAAATACTTGGATTGATCACCAATATTGACTTTAACATTAATTTTTTCAATGAATTATATTAAGCATGAAAACTCGAAATTCTGGTCCAAGCATTTTATGACTGTATATTAACTTTTTTTTTTATATTCAATTTTTTATATGAATTTCTAGTCTAATAAAATAGAGAAAAAATTAATTACAATTAAATCTCAAATTAAATTAGACGACCCTATCGAGGGTTTAGATATCGGTGATTAAAAAAAAAAAAAATAGAGAAAAGAAGTTTAGAGAAAAGATATACTGCATTAATAACATGTTGCTTAAGCTTAGTTCCTGCTTGAAAAATGATTTGTGGGTAAAAGTGAAAACAACAGTTAAGTATTCTTTTGTCGTCGAGGCAAAGGTAAAAGTATAAAAATTGAGCTCCCAATCCCAAATGATGCTAAGGTAGTTTGGGGCTCAAGAACCCTACTAGCTTTTAAACCCTAATCCTAAAAAACCTAAGTAGAGGCAGTCACATCAGAAAAGAGAAGCAATTTGCAATGAATCAGGTGACAGGCAATGAACATTTTTTGGCATGTATCTCATTTGTACCACCAGATTGACCACTTCCTTGAAGAAAAAAAAAAAAAAAAAAAAAAAAAAAAAAAAAAAAAAAAAAAAGTGAAATGTTTAAACATCGGGAATATTAACATTTTTTAATATTAGTACTTGTTTTCTAATTATCAATTAAATATTAATAACCAAAATATTGGAGAATAAAAAAAAAAAAAAAAAAAAAAAAAAAAAAGTGAAATGTTAACATCGGGAATATTAACATTTTATATTAGTACTTGTTTTACTAATTATTAATTAAATATTAATAACTAAATATTGGAGAATAATGTTTCAGTATCTATAAACATTAGCATAGGAAATACTCCTACCAAATAGCAGAAGAAGGAACTTAATATCTTCATTTTCCTAAAAATATATAAATATATGCTCAAATATATGTATAGTAATAATGCAATATAATTAAATAAGCATAAAGTGAAAAAATTAATCTCATTACATTTATAATTTGTATATTTTATAATGATTCAATAAATAATTACTTAAATGAAAATTATGCAATGGAAATTAGGGTTTTATTTAAAACCATATTTCAATTATGGTTGGTCTTAAAATGTTGTTTTTTTTTTTTCATTTTCCTTTTATTTATATATTTTATTTACCAATAGGATTTTTTTTAGGAAATATGAATATTATTATAATTGTTCATAGATTGCCTTAAACTTGAAAATATCAAACTTGATATAAACGAGAAAAATTAAGGATTTTAGTTTTTAAGAGGAGAATGTGTATTTGGAGGTACTTGTTGTAGGCAAAGATAATTAAGTAGGCAGTGGGCACGTGATCCTTGACAAAAAAAAAAAGAAGAAAAGGACTAATAGGTGTATTAGTCACTACTCCCGTAGATTCGAGCTATTGGTCAGGTGTTGACGTTTCGATTTAAGATAACCTATGTGGCGTATCATTCTAAGCACTGATGGAGACGCTACTCTCTTTTTGCAAAATCGTAGCGTTGCGATCCTCACGGGACAGTAGAAAATGGTCTAATACAATCCACAAAGTGGGTCGTGGGTACGTGATCCTATGGATTGGGTAATAAAAATGGTCCATCACAAGCTTAAAGGCTCAAGAAAGTATAGGAAAATGGATATCGACTTGGCTTGATTAAGCATTGATAATGATGCATAAGCTGTAGGAGTTAGAATCATTAATGTGTATTAATGACGTGTTTAGTGATTGCAGAATCATTGCATAATAATAATGCCTTTGACCCCTAAATTAATTATGTCAATCTCATCAACCTCTATCTCCATATAAGTCAATTCTCCTACTTCATGTAGTATTAATTAATTCAATTTCTGTACTAATGTACAAGCATGTACCCTTCCCCCAATGCCCTTCACATGTCTATGCTTTTGTCCTTCATCCCCCCCCTTTTTTTTAACAATTTGGACTAGTGCACGAAAATCTCTAAATGAAATAAAAGATTACTATTCTCATACTTAGTTTTAGGCATAAGACTAATTTTACTTTGAAATCCATAATCATCTCTTTCTATAAAATGTTTTTTCAAGGATTTCTACAGGGCATGTGTTGTATATTTAAGCGTATTTTAATATTTGAACCACTATTTACGAATAAATTTTTGAAATTAATTACAAAGACAATAGTCTTATTTCATCTCGGAGGTTTCATAATCATTGGAGTTTATAAAAAAAAGAACATCCTTACATAATTAAAATGATTAATCTTACATCAAATGCATTTGTCATTTAATGTAGTACTTAACATATCCGCAATGCCTTTAATGAAGATTTAGAAGAAAGTTCAGAATTTGGATACTTTTGATAATTAATATAAAAAGTCTTTCTCAAAGAGATTGACAAATATTGTTTTCCTTATAATAATAATAACAAATGGGTCATACTAACAAAACATTATCATTTATATGATTTGCCTTTATCTCACATCATACGTGCGTATCATCAAACCTGGTTGGCCATCATATTATTATTATTATTATTTTACATTTTAAAAAAGTTGAAGCAATTAATGATTTTTGATTTTTAGGGTTTAATATCAAAGTTCAAAATTCACTAACAATTCCTCATTGTTTTTTAATTATTAAAAAATAAAATTAAAAATTTTGCATGATAAAAATTGCTAATCTACAATCGCTTTTCTCATTAGAATCTTCTTTGTATCGGGAAATAAATATTTTTAATTTTATTATAATTTTGAGTTGATAATACAAGTTTAAAATTAGCTAATTTGATGTTGAAATGAGAATAATTATAACTACTCATTAGATTACCATTTGATTCATGTGACTCAAAAATTTAATAATTGCTTGTTATTATAGCATAAAAGAGCTAAAGAAAAGAAATGAAAAAACGCATTATGATTCATAATGATTATAGGTATTTGTTTGTGAATAATTTTTATAATAAATATTTGGTCAACTTTAGATTGGTGTCATTACCTGGTTTTGACCCATCCCAAGACTGCCCATCGGCTGATGAAGACCAATGACTTGCTCAGTTGGTGGGCCGTCCTTAACCCGATTTACATGTGAGGTTGGTGAAAGGCACTATCAACCTTTTATTGTTCTTGGCCATCTTCATAAATCACAATTTCTTTTTTCTTTGAGCTTTTTGTTTTTTGCCTGGCAGTAAAAAAATGGCATGGCAGGGACAGTTACATAACATTGAAATCAGACTGCTGTGATATAAATGGCAGTGAGTGGAGAAAGACCAGAGAAAATGATTTTAAGAGAGAATTGTCTTTTGGGTATGGCCTAATAATATTACTCTTGTAGAGTTCAAGAAAAGTAGAGCCCTGTCTTTATTAGACTAAAAGAAAAAAAATTAAATAATGTAAAAGAAAGTGTCTCAACTCGAGAACCCAAAAAATTCTTTCTTTTCTTTTCTTTTTTTTTTTTTAAATAAAAGAAAAGAAAAACTCACCTCATATACACTAAAGAGTAAAGACCTTTTTCCTTATAAATTTCTTGATATCAGTAATTCAATCTCACCTCATACAGTTTCTTCTTCACCCTTTTTTCACCTTTTTTTTTTTCAGTCTTTTGTGCTACTGAATCTTGAAAACTAGCGACAATGGTGGCCAAGAAACCAAAAATTGTGATTATTGGAGCAGGAATGGCTGGTTTAACAGCTGCCAACAAGCTTTACACTTGTACTAGCTCAAAAGACCTGTTTGAGCTGTGTGTCGTTGAAGGTGGCACAAGAATTGGTGGCAGAATTAACACATCAGAATTTGGTGGTGACAAGATAGAGATGGGGGCAACTTGGATCCATGGCATTGGAGGTAGCCCTGTTTATAAAATTGCTCAAGAAATCAATTCTTTAAACTCTGAGAAGCCATGGGAGTGCATGGATGGTTTCTTGGATGGGGCAAATACTCGGGCAGAAGGTGGGTATGAACTACACCCATCTCTTGTTGAGTCCATATCCACTCTTTTCAAGAATCTCATGAGTTTTGCTCAAGGGAAGTTAATTCAAGCCAATAATGAAGGTGTTGATTTTGATTTCTACAGAAATCTTGCAGTTAAAGCATCCAAGGTTAGAAATCTTGATGCTAATAACCCAAGTGTTGGTTCTTTTCTTAAACAAGGGTTGAATGCTTATTGGGACTTTGTTAAAGATGAAGAAGAGATCAAAGGGTACGGTAATTGGAGCAGAAAGTTACTCGAAGAAGCCATTTTTGCCATGCATGAAAATGTTCAAAGAACTTATACTTCTGCAGGTGATCTTTTAACTCTAGATTTTAATGCAGAAAGTGAGTACAAAATGTTTCCAGGTGAAGAAATCACTATTGCAAAAGGTTACTTAAGTATAATTGAATCTTTAGCTTCTGTTTTACCTAAAGGTCTAATCCAATTAGACCGGAAGGTATCCAGAATCGAATGGCAACCAACTGAAACTCAGCAATCAATGACTAATGGGTATGCAAATTGTAATAATAGGCCAGTAAAGCTGCATTTTTGTGATGGATCGGTTATGTCTGCTGATCATGTTTTAGTGACAGTCTCATTAGGAGTACTTAAAGCTGGAATTTATCAAGATTCAGGTATGTTATTTAGTCCTCCTCTTCCATCTTTCAAGACTGAAGCTATATCAAGACTTGGTTTTGGTGTTGTTAATAAGCTGTTTTTACAATTAAGAGAGGATTGCATCAGATTTCCTTTCTTGCAAATGGCTTTTCATAAAGATGATTCTGAATTAAGGCATAAAAAGATTCCCTGGTGGATGAGAAGGACAGCTTCCATATGTCCAATTTATAAGAATTCCAGTGTGTTATTATCTTGGTTTGCAGGGAAAGAAGCATTAGAGCTTGAATCTCTTAGTGACGAGGAGATTATTAATGGGGTTTCAACAACAGTATCTAGTTTTTTACAAGAAGTGAATTATAATAATAATTGTAATGAGTCATGCAACGGGGTTGATTGTGATGGAAGCTCAAATGGAAATGAAGTGATTAAATTCACTAAAGTTTTGAAGAGCAAATGGGGTAATGATCCTCTGTTTTTGGGATCTTATAGTTATGTTGCAGTTGGGTCAAGTGGAGATGATATGGATACATTAGCAGAGCCATTGCCTAAGATTGGTGGTAATTTTGAGTCAGATGGGTCATCTTCTTCACCTCCACTTCAAATTCTATTTGCAGGGGAGGCAACACATAGAACCCATTATTCAACTACCCATGGTGCTTATTTTAGTGGTCTAAGGGAAGCCAATAGGCTTCTTCAACACTATCATTGTATTGGGGTTTAGACACTAAATAGTAGTAGTAGTATAATAATCATATATGAGATATATATATATATATCTATATATATATATTTTAAAAATTGTTAGATACTTATTTTGTTTTTTTCTTCTTTTTTTTATTTCCCATCTAAAACATCTTTATTTCTCTTTCTATGAAGTTGAGCCATCGATGAGAGCAAAGAAAAAGAATCATTAGGGAGGGGCGAAAGAGATAGATGGGGACATTTTTAGATGTATTGCCTGAATTAAAGAAGCTTCCTTTCCAATTTTCTATTGCCTTAATTCTCTTAGTTTGTGGAGTTTTTAGTTCTGGTTTCTATTTTAGTACTAGTCTAGCTAGTCTCTTTGATCTTTAAAGCAAACCCAATTCAAAGATAGTGTTTTTGGGCATTCATTATTTTCAAAGGCTGAAGTAAAGAACAAAGCTAAGAACTTTGGATCCCACTTTTAATGTTAAAATGTGCGTTTGTTTTTGTTTGCTCAGTGGACAGGATCCGATAAACCCGGTCCTTTCCAGCTTGGAATCCCTTCACCCGTTGCTTTCTTTCCACTGTACCTTTGTTTCTCTGCCCATGTTGCTGTGCTCGCAAACCCAAGCAACTCTTGCTTTGTTTCTTTCTGTACATATCAAAAACTCTTTTTAATCAAGTTGATATTTAAATTCCTTGCTGTTATATATACTTTATCGAAAATTCTTATGTCGAGATTGATCAGACCTCTAATTCAAACACTACGAGATATAAGCTAGCTAGAGCTCGAATATTAGCACATAGAAGTAGGATCATTCCATAGACAAGTTTGGAGAAATAAGAATCAATGAGCTGGCCATAAAGGTATGTGATTCACATGAAAATGTGGATAGAACCAATAATAGGGACCCATTAGAGAGTCAATCATACTGGTTTTCAGAAATGTCCTAAACAAAGACAGAGACATAGATAAGAGAAGGTAAACTTGTTTTAGTGCAAGGAAGGTCTCTTCAAGAGGGACCCATAAAGAACGATAGGTCCCATTCCATGCATACGTGATAAACAAATGCAAGGAAGAAGAAGACATACACTAAGACAGTTTTAGACAGTTTTATCTTTACTTACCTAGCTCTTATAATTGATACTTAGTAGACAACAGCAATGGCCTACCCACTCGGTACCATTAGATTTCTCTGCAGCACCAAATCCTTACTCTGCTTGCTACAGACAGAAAATGACTGTCCATAACCAACATTATCAAACCCTAAATAAAAACACACGTATTTCTGTCCACTAATGTCACATTATTAATCTAAATCCCTCCCATCCTTCAGATTATACGAAAAAAGATTTAATCGATGGTTATGAAATCATAAAAATCTCCATGTTTGGTCCACATGTTTTCAATAATTGAGATTTTGTTTAAATTGTCTCATATCATAATATTTGTTGTTGTTTGGTTTGAAAGATTTTGGTTTGGTAAATTGAAATAGCACAATTTGTGTCTGCAATAGGACATGACATCTCCATGTATTCATAACATGCACAATAGCATAATTGAATGTGGTGGCAAAATTTCTATTTTTGCGTTTTATTTAATTAGGTAAACTTATTTAAAATGGATTTTGCCTAAAGTACAAAGTCCACTTCGCTACTTTTTGTTTTTTGTGAAATGCATTAATTGTAGGTTTCTGTAATGGCAACTCATTTATTAACTTGCGGAGATTAAATAAGAAAAAAATAGAAAAAAAATCTATGTATTTAATTCTCGTGCAAAAATAACTTTGCCTACGTAAACGTAATAGATAAAATATTTATATAATAGCATTTTATTTTTCCCTCCAATAGATCAACTCTTTCCTATTTTGTTTTGCGTTCCAAAAGGTTATATATGTAAATATACCTTAAAAGATAAAAATTATTCTAAAATTATTTTCCCTCGAACACTGTCTAAATTAAAAGATAAAAAAAAAATAAAAATAATGGAAAATTAATCTTATTTACTGGGCTTTTGGATTAATTGGTAAGTATTTATGTGGTGTCCATTCACTTTGGGGATATACTGTATAGTCAAATCAATATGCATTTATTTCATGTATAGAGAATCCATTATCGTGAGATTTTGCCTCTCCCCCCAAAAAAACTGGAATGGCCCACTTCATATCTCTTTTTATGCCTCTTGTGGGCTTCAAATCACTCTTCCATGATTTTGCATATCACACCATCAATCTGTCACCTAGTCCTTTGTCTGATTCACAAACTAACAATTGAGAATCTCCCACCACCTGCTACTCTCCTTAATCTAACATCTTAATCACTTACGGGGACTCTTGGCTAATATTAATTATTTTAATATTTTTTTTTTTTAAATTTTAATAACAGTTAAAAGAGTAACGTTTTATTAAAATCTATCTAATCTTTATAATTCACATTAAGCCACCATTTGATATCTAACTCGAAAATCAAATGGTCTTTCTTATTGTTGTACTAATTTAAGATTTAGATTTCGTTAGTGGTTAAAGACATTTGTTTCGAGTAGGGACCTTTGAATTGACCACACGTGCCAAATGGGCGGCTAGCAGTTTAAGATGTAACATCTCCTTTGTACACGTTTGTTGCCAGCAGTTTACGTACCTTTGTGTCTTTTCTTGCGCTTATAAATGGCACAAATTATATAAATATATAAATAAAAATTAATCTTTAGTTTCCACTTTCATCTGCTAAAGTTATTATAATCATGCGCTCTCATCTTTAAAGTGACTCAAAAGTTGACACTGGTTCTGATTATTGTATCACTGTGCAATTTTTTTTTTTTCCCACCATTTCATGAAAAGCATTAATGATCTTTTATTTTTATTAAAATAAAATAACTTATTTTTATATGTAGTAGACCAACCTTTTATCAAATGTAATTATGATCTTATCGTATTATTAACAACGTTTAACATACTTTCAGTTATTAGTTGGATAGTTTTAATGATGTTCTTTATTGAAATTACGTGGAACCGAATGATAAATATCTTCGACCTTAGGACAATTTTTATTTTTTGGTCCAATATCTTAAAACCAATCCTTGCTTTGTTGAAAATGTTAGATTAAAAGTGTGATGATGATGCATTAGGAGCTGTCTACTTTATTCTTTCCGAATGAGAATAAACTTTATTATTATTATTATTATTATTATTATTATTTATTTTTCTATCCATAAGATAAGAGAGCCAATGGTGGTGAAAGAAAAGATAACTGATTTAAGTAGGTTATCAATTTGGTATCTTTATCTTATAAAGGCTTTTGTGGTGACATGACAAGGGACCCTCTCTTTCTCTCTTTCCCTCTTTTCCTTTAATTAAAGGATCATATCCCATGTCTTTCAAATTTTTTATGGGAGGAATCTAGCCTCCATTTTTAGGGCAATAGCCCTCTTAAAGACACTATACAAGGGAACAACTTATCATTAATTCTCTTATATGGTACGCTTCATATACTTATCTTTCTTCAATCAATTTAGGACGATGCAAACCACCATTATTTCTCTTTATTATTTCTGAATGATATCAATTTGTATTTTCTTTTTTTTTTTTTAAATAAATAAACCTGGATACTACTATAATTTTTTTATTATTTCAAAAGACAGGTAGATATATATATCAATTTGTATTTTCTTTTTTTTTTTTTAAATTAAATAAACCTGGATACTATTAATTTTTTTTATTATTTTCAAAAGACAGGTAGATATATATAATATATATATATATATTATATTATATATATACGTGGTGAGGCACTGGAGTAATAAATTGTGAATTTATTTTGAAAGGTTTGCAGGTTGCTTGATAGATAAGGAGTAGTTGCTACTGTTATTGACTAATGGTTTTTGTCTTGATGTCTTCTAATTGGTGTAGTAGAGACACTTTTAGAGAAAAAAGATTTTTAGTACAATTGGTCTGTTGTTAGTGTGATCTATCTATCCACATATGTCAGTCTTTTCTAGGTACTTAATCTGGACACACCTTTTATACTACTTCTGGCTAATTTCTCCAATTCTCTGCCTCTCCTTTCTTTTTCTTTTTTTTTTTTTTAAATAAATAAATAACAATATTGCCCTCATTTACATTATTACAGTGATATCCTGTTAAGGTTACTTACATTATTATGTGCCCATGGTTTTGCATTTTTTTTTTTTTTTTTTTTTTTTACGTTAAGCATATGTTGCTAGAACTTCCAGCCAACCATTCAACGCGGCACTATCGAAAAAAGTTCATTTTTTTTTTTTTTTTTTTTAGTTAAGCATATGTTGCTAGAACTCCACCAACCATTCAACCGCGCACTATCGAAAAAAGTTCACTAATGAACTAGATTCTAATAACAGAAAACAATCTTTGATCTTAATCTGTCATTGTCTTTGATTTATTTTTCAACCTTTATCAGTGGATGTTTATATATTTCTCCGAAAAACGACTTTAGCTTTTTGGAAACGACGGATGCATGATTATGTTTTCAACTAGATAGCAGAACGATCGGAACGACAGGACATGAGTTTTCGAAATTTCAGTATAATTGGGCTTTTGTTCGATATGGGCTTACTTTAGTATTGTGTTTGGTGGACTTTTTAGTGAAATGACTCAACCGACATGAACAATAAGACGACGGCTTCAAGTTTAGTACCTTTGGGCTTTTCTTTATATGGGCCTGCTTAGGTAGTCTGTTATAGCCCATCTTCGGACTTTTTAATGAAATTATGCGAGAAGAAAAGCTAGGACAAATCCCAGACAAGCTACTAGTCTACTACCACACCCAGAAGGAAAGTATTTCCCTCGTGTTGACTGACATAGGAAATTTTTCTCTGTCGTCCATAGATAGAAGGAAAAATTTTCCATCGTGTATGAGAAAATGGAAACTGGCTACGTGCCAAACATTGTAAGTCCATCCTTTCCCCCTTGGTTAATAGGCCCCGCCGTAGCTGTCGTTCATACATATGGGCTTTGCTTGTGTCAATTACATAGCCGAAAGAGATGAACGACAAGCTATGCATTTTCTGGTTTGACGATTTGGCTTATCAATCAAACGACCAGTCGTGTAAAACCTGCTAGTAATTATTGTCGGGAAAAGACGCGGCAATTTCTCTCATTGTTTACGTTACCCCTCTGATTTACCGGCGGTCGACACTCACCTGCATGGCCTCGTTTCCAGAAATAGCTGATCTCTTCTCCAAACTCGCTCTTCACCTCGGAAACCCAACTCACAGTTCACCAATCGGTAATCGAGAAGAAGAGTATTCTTATTCTATTGATATTTCCATTTCAAAGCTAAATCAATCTCTCAATCTCGCCGATAATGCTGGGGTTCGGGTTTTGGATACCGCTCTTTCACTCATGTGTTTCAAAGCGCCACAGGTTTGTTCTCCTCAAACATTCTTATCATTGTTCAGTGCTTAATTGTGATTCTAATTTTTTGTGGTCTGCTTTTAGGTTTTTGATTCAGAGATTCAGTATCTGGTCAATACAATTGTTGGTGTTTTGTCTTCTTCAATAAGCTGTACACTGTTGCGGTTCGAGAAAGGAGAGGTTTTGCGGATTGGCAGTTCCATTTCGCAGAGAGATTGCGTGAAATTTATTGAAGTTGTTAATGATGTTATATCGAAATTGGACGAACAGGGTGAGCTCTCCTCTCTTACGTGTCTTCATGTTAATCAAGTTATTTTTAGTGATGATTTGGTTAACTAAACAAAACCATAATGTTCCATGGACATTTGTTGCTGTTTGATTTTAAGTTAAGTGTGATTATGTAGCAGATGTGAGGCTGTATCAATATTTTAATTAATATGGAAAAATTATCTAATTGGGTAAACCATAATAGATCCTCTATCAAACAGCAAATTTTGATGCATATGCTTTTGTTTCTCGTCTTGCATTTGGTAGGCATACCTTCCTGTTTGCTATTACGTGCTGCTGCCAGAGTCATGGTTTCAGCATCCAACTATAGATGCTTGGTTCCATCAGTGCATATTTTGGATATTAACTCAATCGATAGAAGAAGCATTGCTGTCTCAAATTTCCTCTGCCACCTGCACAAAGAATTCTCTTTTAACAACCATGAGATACCACTGAGGTTTGTCATGGACAGAGTTTTGCTTTTCCTTTTCGCGGCCATCTAGTAATTGGTTCTCAGCGAAAGGATATGTGTTTTTGTGCGTAATATCTTGAGGTTTTATCATGCCTTCCCTCAAAAACATGAAAAATGTTCATACATGTAAATGTTAAAAACTCGACTCCATCTATTTTTATTTGTTCTTGAACTTTTTTCTGCTTGACTTTCTTATTGCAGGTTGCTATCCTGGTATCTTGACCCACTAACCTTAAAGCATGACATTTCAAATATCTTGCAAGAAGCCCTGAAAAGACCTTTCCTCTCTTTGAGCAAGGGATTTTATGATAGGATGGATTGGCGCTCCATCATTATGTGCTTGGTGCTTTCTCCAATTATGTTCATTCATACAAGAGCTCTATTACACAATTGGTTTATGTTGACGTGAGTTCCATGTCTTGATTTTGTGGACCTTTTAGCCACTTATGTACACTCTATCAAGAATTCAGTGCATGCTTAATGGACCATAATTGCATGTAATATAATGTGAAATGAACTTTTAGTTCATAATTCTATTTCATTCCATTTAGTTATCGATAACATTTAAGTACATTGTACAGAAAAAATGCACTTAAATGTATACGTTCATTTAATTTTAAATTCGTCTGAGGATTCGATGTTGTTCATATGCATAATGCTTTTGGTAACATCTTCTGTGACTTTCACATTATACGCTCCGGCAAACTTGCTAGATTTGTTCTTATGGTTCATATGGTCTACAATGAACAACTTGATAATTAATTGGGTCCATTGACTATTATTATGGGGGGCAGCCCTCCTCTTTTGTTTCGTCACCCCTTTTCCTGAATCATTTTTTTTAGCAATTATCTGACCTTAATAATGTTATCATACAAGATATTTTTCTCTGAAAGACCATATACCACATTTTACAAGAATATCTAATATTTTTACTTCAGCATTCTATTTGCTTTCGTTCAATTCGTCTAATGAGATCACCAATTATATAACATCAACCTGTTACAAATGCAACAGGGGTCTAGGTTCAGTACTGGAGCTTCTGATTGAATTAGTTTCAGTGATACTAGACGTGATTTCTAGACCAACATGGTGGGGTATTTCAATGGAGTTGGGATCAAGGCTGCCATTTTCTAATGCATATTTCCCCTACAACAACCACTGGTTGAGGACCTTGGCTGGACCTCTCTCATCTTCAGGTTTTCTACAATTAGTTCAAGGGACAAGTAAATCAGTTTCTCTTGGCGGAGAACAATTTGGTCTGAATTCTAAGCCATCAGCAGTGAAGATCGCATCAATTGATTCCAAATCTATCTGGTATATTCTTGATCCAAGATAATGAAAAATGTTATGTGGCAACTGTTACCTCTCAATCACACAATATTTATTTGAGATAGTTCATAGCAGGGCTCTGGTGATCTGCTTTCCAGATTGGTTCCATTTTGCTTCAGTTTTACTCTTCTCCAACAATTCTTTTCAAAAGAGTTTTCAATTGAAGTGCATGTTAGGAGTAACCGAATTTGGACAAACAAGTGGCATGGAACTGCCTGCCGCTGCTGCAAGGTACATTGCTTGGCTTCTGAGCCCCAATAACAAATCTGTTCAGGGTCTGCTGTTCGATAATTTGATTAAAATATCAGAGTGTTGGATTCTGAAACAAAATAACTCAGGCGTTTGTGGCAGAGGTACAGCTGATTACAGGAAGAAACTCAAGAAACCCACATGTTATGATGTTGAGGAGGATCTTAGTCTCGGGAACAAGTGTGATTGTCAAGTTATTGAACTCTGGCTTAGAGAATTCCAAAGCATCATGAAGTATGGTGATGAATCAATCCACAATTCATCTTCCTGTGAAGAAAAATCACATACTTCTATTTTGAGGAAAGATATGCTTTTCAGGAAAATACCATTAGGTATTTTGATAGGCTACTCTACTTACGTGAAAGAAGATGGTTTTGAACTGTTATTGCATTATGCTGCAACTGGTAGGATTCTTCATTCAATAACTAAGAATGCTAGAAGAAAGCATGTAGACCAAAATTCTGGAGTGGAAGACTTTGTTATAGGATGTAATGAATTTAATAGAAAGGAAGCTATTTCAGGTGCCTGTCTTGTCTTCAGTTTAACGAATACAGTTGAGAGGATGTCTGCTTTGTTATTTGACAATGAAAAAAGTGGACTGGATATTTTTTGCCAGGTCAAATTGAGGGCAAGCAGGTACTTGATAAAGTGTATCAATAGGCTAATCCAGCCTGATATGGTTGAAGATGAAAATGTGATGCTGGTGGATCTGCATGATAGATTGGAGCAATGGCGGCATCAAGGGCAAGAAATGTTGAAACTTGACAAAGATGTAGATGATGCCATTAAGGGCTTGAGTAATAACTTGTTATCACTATGATCGAAATTTTGTGAAAAGGTTCCTTGATTTCTTCTTTTTGTATTCTGTTTTTATCATACTAACATGCACACATACACACAGAAAAGAGAGAATACTTATTATCATTATTATTTTATTTTCTGTTGGTTCAGAAATATTTTTTACATATCATTGTACATGAAGAATCACTTTAACTGTTTTTGTCTCTACCCGAATAACATTGAGAATGTCTCTGTGCTTTAACATTAGGCAGTGAAAAAGCTAAAAGTATGAAAATCCTAGACAGAAATGATTGATGTACTGAACATGAAGTGATTTTGGATTTCTTTTGTTAGATTAGCAGCTATGGATTTTGAAGTCTTCAACTGCACTGAATCTCAACAGAAAGTTTCTTTGGGCTACCTGGACATGGATCTCCTCCAAAATTTTGAGGATCCACAACAACTTCACATGACTGCTTTCCAATACATGCCTGCAACAAGCTCTTCAGGTTAGTCACGATTACAATCAAAATATAACATTAGCCAGCTAAGATATTTGACAAATTATCCTTCTTTTATTGGTACTTGCCTTTTGGAAAGGATCCCATGATTTTTGGGCATGACAACTTCCCTGTGAGAAATATCCACATCTTCCCTTAGGCGAACCATAGCTAGCTAAATTTATCTTAGACATTGTCTGGCCTGGAGGACACCATAAATGAGCTTTGGGTTTTGTTGGAACTATCTGCTGCCAGTTTTTAACTGCCGGTTGATCATCATATATATCAGCACAGACAGCTCCTACAATTCTTTTAACCATAGAAATTCCAGTTGGATCGCCACCTATTTCTTCCAAAACAACTAACAGATTTCCTTTTGGCTTCAACCATGAGCGAGGAACATGGTAGTATTGTTGAGAAGGCCCTCCGCATTTACTTTTGCATTTTTTATCAGTATAAGTTCCTTCATACCCACAATCATTACAGCTTCCACGAGCTGTATTTGCAGGCCAGTGGCGTCCTATACTTTGACCATTTATGTAGACCTGACCTTTTCCCATGCTACTCATATCTAAGGCTAATGGGTCATTTCCTGATGGTGCATCAAAAGTAGCCTGAAAGATTTTATTAAAAATTTGTGTAATGTCCTGTCAAAGTAAAAAAAAAAAAAAAAAAAAAAAAAATGGTGCAATCAAAGTAGCCTGAAAGATTTTTATTAAAAATTTTGTGTAATGTTCCTGTCAAAAGAAAAAAAAAAAAAAAAAAAAAAAAAAGAAACAGAAGAAATGACATTGGGAATCAAGAGTAACTTTTACCTTATACCATGTTAATGGTTGTTTTTTAACCAGTTGTGATCCTTGTGCCCATTTAACTGAAGAACTCCCTGCAAATGTAGGAAGTTTTAAATCTTCACCTCCTAAACCAATCTGCAATTAGTAACATAGAAATAGATAAGTGATTATCTAAATGTGGTGAACAGTAAGAGAGCTAAATATGGGGGAAAAAATTTCAACCAAATGAATTTTGGTATACTGATAATGAACTAGTGTCTAGGATTGAGGTCGTAGTCTGAACTTAGACGAAGCCTAATTAATCAGAAGAGGATAAAAAAAAAAAAAAATTAAAAAAAAAAAAAAAAGGGAGAACAGATTAACAAACCTTGTAAGACCATTTCCACTTGGACATGTCTAATGTTCCTTTGTTTAGACCCTGCAATGTGACGGGGCCTAGAACTCCAGCATTCCATGTATCGTAATGGAGACCAACATTCTGAGAATCAATTAATAATGACTTAATCCATGTTCAGAAATAATTAAGCTAGTGTCACTATTAGATAAACAAAGGAAGTAGATATCAGATAGAACTAACCGCTAGACCCACAGTAGCACTCAACAAAGAGATCTTATTAGTTCCAGCATTCAACTTCACTTTTTGGCTAAATGTGATCCTAGGTTCCTCTAATGACCCATGCTGAGTTCCTGCAATACAGATACAAACAAACTAATATGTTAAAAGGCCAAAAAAAAAAAAAAAAAGTTCATTCAAAATGGAAAATGAAATGAGGATATTAATTACCCACCTGCATATTGACCATTGATAAAAACATGCAAAACATGTCCAGCTGATTGAACTGTAAGAAGAGGGTTCTGTCCATTCTTCAAAAACCCTTCATTAGGATCAATATTCACACTGAAAATCACAAAAACAATACTCAACTGTAAGAAGGTTCACCAAAAAATATATAAAGTCAGAACACTTCATTATTACTTACTTTGTCATGTACCATAGATAGTCTGTTTTATCAGCAGTAAGGAATTTTTGCTCCCACAACCCATCATGTGTAAATGTACCCGCACCATAACCAGTTGTAACCACATCTTTGTATGACTCCCAAGAAAATCCTTTAATAACAGGCATCATCCACATTTGTGTACTTTGGGCACCCATCTATATAATAAGAATTACCGCGAGAAACCCATTAATATAAATTCAATCCTAAAAGTAAAATTTTATTTACAGTATTCCTTACCCTGGCTGTGTTAAAAACTGCGGTTTTGCAATCAGGTAGAACGCTAATGGACCAAGGAGGTAGCCAGTACTCCACATTCCAAAAATTAACTTTTACGGAGTATTGTGTGTCGTAGTTTGCTAAGAAAGCTGCACATGCTGTCTTTGTTTGGTATACATGAGCCTAAAATATGGTTATATAAATTAATTAGTGATGAAATTGAATAATAATTAAGAAAATTTAATTAGTATAAAGTTTTGCTTCTTTTCTAATTTCTTGCCTCTTGATTTTTTCCAAGTGATTTTACTTCAGGATCTACAGAGATTAAGGCAGGTTCACATAGCTTGATGGCTTTATGTAAATCTCTTAAATGTCCCCACTTTGGATCGTGTGGTAGTCCTAAAACCAAATTAAAAAAAATAATAAAAAAACATTAGGCCTTAATTAGATGGATAAAGATTGTATTAACTAAACAAAAATAGCATAAACTATTAGTATTGAAAAATTACCATATTCATCAAGAGGGGCATCATAATCGTAGCTAGTGGCCATAAAGAGGCCAGCAGTTCGCCCAAAATTAGTTCCTCCATGGTACTGTACAGAAAAGAACATGAAAATTTGTTAAAATTGGAAATAATTAATAAACTCGATGAAGCTTTTTTATTTTTTATTTTTTTAATTTTAACGGTAAGTCAATAGTCTATATTTACCATGTAATAATTTACAAAAGAACCCTTATTTGCTATGAATCTTGCAACTGAAAAGGCGGTATCTTCTGGTGGTCTATAAGGAACTGGAGCACCCCATTCTGTGTACCTGATAGAAATAAAAAGCATACCCAAAAAAAAAAAAAAAAAAAAAAAAAAATCTGGTGGTCTACTAGGAACTGGAGCACCCCACTTCTGTGTACCTGATAGAAAATTAAAAAAGCATACCCAACAAAAAAAAAAAAAAAAAACCCCGATTTACAGCGGTTCTTAGATAAAATCAAATACATAGTGTCAAAAAAAAAAAAAAAAAAAAAAACACGATACAGGTTCTTAGATAAAATCAAATACAATAGGTCAAAACATAAAAATTAAAAAGGAATTTTTTATGCAAAAGAGAGGGACTTGTGATGTGACCTACCAACCAGTCCAATTTTCTGTCCACATTTTTGGTTTATAGTTCTTATTTGGTACGTATGCTTCACAATAAAATCCATTGCACGTATCAATCTGCATATCACCAAATAGTTAGATATAAGTCTAAGTAAATGAAAAACTAACATAATCCAAATTTTTTTAAGAAAGAAATATTTATTTTTTCAAAAAACATTAAAATTAGGTATATCTTTGGCTAAAGGTGAGTTTTTTATTTTTATTATTTTTATGCATGTATCATGCTTGTTATTAGAAATAAAATAAAAAAATAAAAGTTAATTTGGTAAGAACACTTACGGTTGGATCAGGGGCATCGTCTTGCTTGCACATGATCCATGGAACTCCTGTATTAAGACCCACTGCCATGGCAGCTGCCCATTTTGTATAAGCTTTACCCGGTGCACCAATTTCCCATTCTATTGGTCCATATTCATTTTCTATCTATTTATTAGAAGAACAAAGAAAATACAGTTTATTTAAAAGAAAATAAAATATAATTAAACCTAGTAATGGTGGATTAATTTAACCAACCTGAGACAGAATAATCGGACCTCCTTGAGGTTCAAACAACTTTTCTGCTTTCATCATATCCACAATTTTTGTTGTGAACTTTTGCATTGCCGCCTTCATTTTATTTTTTAAGAAAAATAAGATTAATCGATAAAAAAGGATTAAAGAAAATAACACTGAAAATTGTAATTATAAAAAAAATTTGCAATCTCCAAACCTTGAAAGGTCCATTGTCAGTTCTAAATTCAATTCCAGGAATATATTTTAGCCACAAAGGGAATCCCCTGAACCCACAAAAAAAAAAAAAAAAAAAAAAAAAAAAAAAAAAAAAAAAATCATTTGAATTTATCATTTAATTTCGGCATATCTTACCTTAAGACGTATAATAAAAAACAATTTAATAAATTCGTATATATTACCCAAATTCCATTCAGGGCACAAAACAAAAAAAAAAAAAAAAAAAAAAAAAAAAATCATTTGAATTTATATTAATTTCCATATTTACTTAGATATAATAAAAAACAATTTAATAAATGTATATATTACCCAAAATTCCATTCAGCACAAACATAAGGTCCGATTCGCAAATGAACATAGAGACCTGCTTGTTGCACTAACTTGATGAACTTTACAATATCATATCTGTCCTCAAAATAATACTGACAAAGGAGGAAAAAAGAAAGAAATCCAATTGAGTTCTTTAAACTTGAAAGCAAAGGTTTAATTTTAAATAAAGAAAAAGGAAGTTCAGAATCAAAAGTTGATCCAATTTTTTAATTACTTGTCCTTGATTAGGTTCATGTCCATCCCAAAATACATATGTTTGTATCACATCCAATCCTCCTTCCTTGGCTTTCTGTATAAGACCTGGCCACATCTATACAATACAAAATAATTTAATTAAAAATATATATGCACAAAAAAGAAACGGCAACGTTTTCTCTTCTTGGTTAGTTTATAATATATTATTCAATTATTGTTTTATTTTGTTGGGGTTTATGGTAAAATAATAATGAAAGTCAAAATATTAGTGACCGTACATCATGTTCATGTAATATGTCAACTATGTGTTGTTGGATTTTATTAAAATTGACACAAATTTGAAATTATGGTGATGAAATTGAAATGGATAAAAATTAATAAATTGTTATTTTCGGTAAAGACTACCAAAAAATGAATTTCAAAACAAAAGGGAAGACATGAAGAATTATATTTGGTACCTCAGGAGTGCTTCTTGGATAGTGGATGGACCCAGAAATAAGGATTCTTCTTTGTCCATTGATGATAACAGCTTTGTGATCATAAGTCACAGTAGCTGTAGCAGAAGAAATCCAAGAAGAGAAGAACAATAGGAAGAAAATAAAAAACATTTTGTCTCCTAAAATTTTTTCCACATGGAAATTGGAATTCCTTACAAGTTACTTACAACTTATAAACAAATGGCTTTTGCCCTTTATATAGATTTCTTGGGGTTCATCAAAAACACCCAAACCCAAAGAGTAAAGAATAAACAATTCGTTGGAGATGACATCAATTTTATAGGACAGGGACGCTTCTAAAATAAGAATTCTTTGGTGAAAGAAATGATTATCCACAAATTCTTATCCTTTGATTTAATAGTCCAAGTGAGTTGTTATTTTTTTGACATTCATTAATTGTTATTGGAGAGCTATATTTGGTACTAATTTTCAAAATTGGTATATAAAAAGATCAGATCATACTGTTGTTTGACATCCAAACTGGATGATGACTGTCTTCCTAATCAAATAATTATCTTATAATACGGAATATAAAAAAAGAAATTAATTAATTATTTATAAAAGACTTGTGGATGTGACAATTTTAAATTTAATTTAAAGGATATATATATATTTATATATGTGAAAGACCAAAGAAATTTTCTGAGAAACGTAACTAATTGTGATAAAATGTGACAACCAAACGAGATAATGACATTAAGCAATTCCAATGGTAGGAGGCAATCAAGTTACGTAAGTCTAAATTGTCATATGATACTTAAGCTTGAGTACTTAAATTTTAAATTAATCATTGGGTGCTTTCAATCCACGCGATAAACGAAATTCCTTTCTTAATAGTGATAAATGGAAAGTATTATTATGTGATTACATTAAATTATTAATTAATTAATGTTGTAATTTGGGTTTTCAATATGATTCCTAATCCCATATAATATATTGATGTTCGTTCAGTTTCCATTTCATTTTTTCTTTTGTTAGGTTCTCTCCTTTCACGTTGACTTCTAAAGCTTTTAAATATATAATATAATTCTTCTATCCCATGAAAATATATATATATACATATTCTCCTTATAAATGAAATTCATAATTCCAATATTTTAACTAATATATATATATATATATATATATCCTTATTATTTATTGAAAATTTAAAACTAACATCAAAGACTACCGGCTTTATCTGTCTTTTTACAATGAAAAAATTTTTAAAAAAAAAGTTCTCCTCCTTTCTTCTGTCTCGTTCTCATCTCATTTTTAGGTTTCCACATCCAAATTAGATAATAATTTTCGTTTCCCTTTCCTTTAAAGTCCTAAATGTTCCCTCCGTTTTTATCCTGTAACAATGCATACGTAACTACACAAGTCATTTTTTTGAAGTTTTCTTTCTGAATAATTCGTTGTTTTCAAGAAATGAACATCACTTGTGAATAAAATCATATCTTTACAAATTGCAATCTGAGTTCAGAATGAATTTAGCTGATAGAAAAAATCGAACATAGATATGCTAGTGCTTAAAAATTGGTAATTAATCCATAAACTAAAAGCAAATTTTAATAAAGTGCTCGAAGTGCTGAAGATAGAAGGGAAAAAAGAAAGGATCAATTCCTAAATTTCTTGTTTCATAATCGTTGAGCAACAATAGCTTTTCTTTGTCCAGCACTAAACAACCTATAGTTGGCAACTATACATCATTACAAGCACTTAATTATCAACCTCCACATCTAGCTTTGCCAAATTGTCTGCAGTTTGCAGTTCTGCGGTTTCACCTTTATTAGAAAAATCAATCAATCCCCTTGAGAATCTTATTCAGGTGGAAACAAATGGTCAATGTAAATTCACAGTGAACTTTTTTTTCAAAGATTTTATCAGCTACATTGAAGTTGAACTGAAAGCCTCTTTTTACTTCCTGGACATGGGTCCCCTCCAAAAGTTGCAGGAGCTACTTCTACTTCACAAGCCGCCTTTCCAACACAACCCTGCAACAAACTCATATTTGTCAAAACACATGAACGGGAAAAACAAAATACTCAAAAATTGATTGCATGAGTTATATATATATATATATATACCTGGAAAGGATCGTATGATTTTTGAGCATGACATTTCCCTTGTTGATAAGTTCCACATCTTCCCTGCGGCCATCCATAGCTAGCGAAGATAATTTTAGTGATCGTCTGTCCTTCTGGACACCATAATTTAGCTTTAGGTGTAACCGGAACTAACTCTTTCCAAGATTTGACTTCCGGTTGATCATCATCTATATCAGCACAAACAGCTCCTACAGTTCTTCTGACCATAGCAATTTTACTTGGATCACCACCTATTTCTTCCAACACGACTAATAGATTCCCTTTTGGCTTGAGCCATGAGCGTGGAACATGATAGTATTGTTGAGAAGGCTCTCCACATTTACTTCTACATTTTGTCTCAGTATAAGTTCCAGCATAATCACAATCGCCACACTTCCCACGAGCCTTATTTGCAGCCCAGTGACGTCCTATACTTGCCCCGTTTACATACATCTGACCTTTTCCCATGCTAATCATATCTAAAGCTAATGGTTCATTGCCTGCCGGTGCATCAAATGTAGTCTGGAAATTTCTTTGAATCATTAGTTAGATTATAAAGAACTTCCTTTTTTTTTTTTTTTAAAATCAAGAGTTTCACATATTTATTCTTTACAAAAGTATAAAAGAATAAAATGTAAATGAAATAATTAGGTACAAGAATAATTTTACCTTGTACCACGTTAGTGGTTGGTTTTTAGCCAATTGTGCTCCTTGAACCCAGTTTCCTGATGCACTTCCCGCAGGGTTAGGAAGGTCTAAATCTTCACCTTTTAGACCAACCTGTTTGATGACATAGAAATCAATAATTCTCAAGTATATATGGAAAGTAGAAAAGGAAGCTGTGAAAACACACCTTGTAAGACCATTCCCACTTCGTCAGATCCAATGTTCCCTTATTCAAACCTGTCAATGTGACTGGGCCTAGAATCCCAGCACTCCATGTATCAAAATGCACACCAACATTCTGGCATAAATTGATGAGCAACATAATAAGTTTCAACACTATATTTTGAAACATGGCTAAACTAACGAGGAAAAAGAAAAAGATGTGTCAAAGAAACAGAGAGGACTAACCGGAAGACCCACAGTAGCACTTAACAAAGAGATCTTGTTAGCACCAGCTACCAACTTCACTTGCTGGCTAAATTTTATCTGAGGAGTTGCTAGTGAACCATACACGGTTCCTGAAATAAAGATAAATTAATGAGTTAAGAAAATATGAATTTCATTCAAAACGCAAATTGAAATAAACAATATTTTATACTAATCTATCCTATCCACCTGCAAGTTGACCGTTGATGAAAACATGCAAAACATGGCCAGAAGAATCAATAGTAAGAGTAGGATTCTTTCCACCCTTCAAAAACCCTTCATTAGCATCTATATCTACACTGAAAGACCAAAAAAGTATTCTAAGTCATCAAGAATAATTGTTACAGTAGACCAAATTTTTTCTCAGATAATCTCCTGATCTAACAGAGGGTAAACATGATTAGTTTTATACTTACTTGGTCATATACCACAAATAGTCTGTTTTATCATAAGTAAGGAATTTTTGCTCCCACAACCCTTCATGTGAAAATGTACCATTAGCATAACCAATTGTGACTTCATCATTGTGCGATTGCCAAGAAAATCCATCAATAACAGGAATCATCCACATTTGTGAGTCCTGAGCGCCAATCTGTGCAAAAATTACAAGACATGCATTAAAATCTTTCTCTGCCAAACAGAAAGAAATTGGACTTGTTTGTCATCAGGAACTCAAAATTAAGGTTCAAAAAAACATAATTTTGAAATGAAATCAGAAAATGATTAAATATCTATCTAAGCTAAAGATTACACCCATTACCTTCGCAGTATTATAAACTACAGTCTTGCAATCAGGGAGGATACTGATAGACCAACGTTCCAACCAATACTTAACATTCCAAAAGTTCACTTCCGCACCATTTTGCGTGTCATAGTTAGCCAAAAAGGCTGCACATGCCGTCTTTGTTTGGAACACATAAGCCTGAAAAGGATTATAGAGATTTTGAATGAAATCAAACAAACAAGATTGAAAAAAGAATATTCAAATATCCAAATTATGTCTAAATTGTTTACTTCACCTCTTGATTTTTCCCAAGTGATATTAATTCAGGATCTACAGCAGTTAAAGCAGGTTCACATAGCTTAACAGCGCTATGTAAATCTCTCAAATGCCCCCATTTTGGATCATGTGTCAACCCTAGTATCAAAACAGACATATTTTCATTATAGTTTCACGTATTGAAACAAGCTTTTTTGTTGATAAAATTTCTATTATGATCAGTTATAATATTGTGTAATCAGCACATTTATATACATAATTGATGGGCATTAGGGGATAAACAGCATTAGCCCAATTAATCTCAGAAACATACCCCATTCATCAAGAGGAGCATCATAATCATAACTACTGGCCATAAAAAGTCCAGCGGTTCGGCCAAAATTAGTTCCTCCATGATACTGCAAGAAAGACGCAAAAATTTGAACTTTTGTTTTGGAAAACTGGGAATTTCTTAAGGGGACATCTAATAATCAATAAATTCAATGCACTTTACCATGTAGTAATTCACAAAAGAACCACTATTGGCTAAGAATCTTGCAACTGAAAATGCAACATCTTCTGGTGGTCTGTAAGGAACTGAACCGCCCCATTCTGTGTACCTGATAGAAAATACAAATAAATTACAAAAATAATGATCAAATACCAATCAATGATTCTCAGATAACGTCAAAATGGCTAACTTTTCAAAAGAATGGATTCCGATAACACGACTTACCAGCCAGACCAATTTTCCGTCCACATTTTTGGTTTATTGACACTGTTTGGTTTGTAGCCTTCACAATAGAATCCATTGCAGGTATCAATCTGCAAATTATCAAGTAGAAATAAGTTTTGATAGAACAAAGTCCTTGAAGCAAAGGAGATTAGGTTTCCTCTCTCTGTTTGAGGTAACAAAATCAGAATTCCAAAATCTATCTATCTCTTTCTTTCTTCGACGCTTTCTCTTCCCTCTTCCCACTCTGTCTGTAATTTGAATGCTCGTTTGGTTACCCAGAAAAAATGAGAAGAATAGAAAAAGAAAAAGAATTTTGGGATTTTAATAATTTTTTGCACATCATAAATGTAATGAAAAATAAAAAAAAATTAGAAGAATGAAACAGCAAAATATAAAAACAAAAGCATAATAAAATAGCATCCGGCGGGTATGGGTCGCGGCAAAAATAATAAGGCCAGACCCGGGTGCGGGTCCGCGTCATCATTTTAATTTTTATTTTATAGTATTAATGTTTAATAAAAAAAAGTATGAATTCTAATATTTCTTCAATTTTAGTTAATATTTTAATTTTAATAATCAATATCCTAAATTTATTTATTTTTTGTAATTTTGATTCTCTTTAAATTTCAAAAATTAATTTACGTCGGTAGTGAATTCCACAGATGAATACACCATATTATTATATTAAAATAATTAAAATTTAGACAAATAGTTTCGAAATATTATTTTTTTTAAGAAAAATAATGAAGGTACTTACCGTAGGATCCGGGGCATCTTCTTGCTTGCACATGATCCATGGAACTCCTGTATTAAGACCCACTGCCATGGCAGCTGCCCATTTTGTATAAGCTTTGCCTGGTGCACCAATTTCCCATTCTACTGGTCCATATTCATTTTCTATCTTTTTATTAGAAAAAAAAAAAAAAACTTCAATTCAGTAACAAATATAAAAATAAAATAAACAAAATAAAAATTTATATACCTGGGCGAGAACAATTGGACCTCCTTGGGGTTCAAATAATTTTTCTGCCTTCATCATATCCACAATCTTTGTTACGAATTTTTGCATTGCGGCCTTGAATTGAATGTTGTTTATAAAAAATAATTAGATTAATCATTTTAATTTACGAGGATTAAAAAATTGTTTAAAAATTCCAGAATATCAAACCTTGAACGGTTCATTATCTGTTCTAAATTCAATGCCTTCGATATATTTTAGCCACATAGGAAATCCACTGAACAAAGAACAGAACATTGTTAATTTTGAATAATTCTTTTTAATATGTTAATTAGAGTAGTTTATTAATGTTAATTACCCAAAATTCCATTCAGCACAGACAAAGGGTCCAATCCTGAGATGAACATAGAGACCTGCTTGTTGCACTAGCTTTATGAATTTCACCAGATCATACCTGTCTTGAAAAAAATACTTTTTTTTTTTTTTTGGCAAAGTAGAAAACAATTAGTAAATTGTTTAATTAAAGAAAAATAAAAATGAGAAGATTTTGAATTTTTACTTGTCCTTGAACAGGCTCATGTCCATTCCAAAATACATAAGTCTCTATCATATCCAAACCTCCCTCTTTAGCCTTCTGAATCAATCCTGGCCACATCTACAATCACCCAAATAAAATAAAATTTAAAATGGCATCTCTCAAAATTAATGTATATGTGCATACATAAATGAATAAAAAGTTTAATGGTAAAAGTTAAAAAAAAAAAAAAAAAAAAATTTGTCACATTTTAGAATTTTGGAATTTCTAAATTATTTTCAAGTGAAGAAAAAGGGAAAAAGGTAGAGAAACTCATAAGAGTGAAAATGAAATAAGAAATCAAAAAAAAAAAAAAAAAAATTTTCTGTTCTGCCTTTGAAGGCAACTGGTGAGAACAGGGAGAGATTTATGGTTGAATGGTTTGAATTAATTTGCTTATTTAAAATGAAGTGGATATTATAGAGGTGTCAAGTTTTATTTTGTAATACGTTTAGATTTTTTTGGTACGGTCTCGGAGAGTGTCCGATTCAGGTGTCACGAGTGACAATAGTGGGTGCCAATCGCTGAAGAATAGAACATAGAGACCTGCTTGTTGGCAGGGCCCTAGCGCTTTATGAAGTTTCACCGGTGCCACGAATCCTGTATAGCGCTGGTCTTGCGAAAAGAAATATCTGTGTGCTTTTTTTGTTTTCTGTTGGGCGAAGATGAGAGTAGGATCAACAATTAGGGTTAGAACTTGGTTTTCAAATTAAGTAGAGAACTAAAAAATGAGGAAGCATTTTTGAACTTTTTAACGTATGTCCTTGGGGTGGGTAGGTTTAGAGCACGTGACAGGCTCATGTCCCTGTCCAGTTCCACAATCCGGAGGTAAGTCTCTTAGTCATAGGGGGTCTCAAATACATACCCATCTTTTGAGGGACCGTTCTGAATCGAATGTCCTGGCGCAATCGCACAATCACGTCCTGGCCAAAGATAATAAAATTTAAAAATGATGTCTTTTCAATTATGATATGTGCATACTATTAAAGTGAAGTACAAAGTTTAATGGTAAACGACGTTAAAAAAAAAAACAAAAAATAAAATTTGTCACACTTTTAGAATTTTGGGGAAACTTTCTAATTATTTTAAGTGAAGCGAAAAGGGAAAATGTGTACGAGAAACTTCATAAGAATGAAGAAATGATAAGCAAATCAATAAAAAAAAAAACACAAGTTATAAAAGATCATTTAATCTGTACCCATATGATGTACTTCTTGGGTAACTAATATGACCCAGAAGAAGAAGAATTTCTTCTTTGTCCAGTCTTAATGGACAATAGGCTTTATGATCGATCATGATTTAGCAGCGTAGCTATAACAGATAGAAACCGCATTGAACTGAACAAAACAAGAATTAATATGTGCGAGTTTAAAGATGATGAAGCTGCTCCCCCCTTTACATTTTGTTATTGTATTTAGTTCTTGCTCGACTTTCTGACAAAGAAAGTGTAACTACTAACCACGTGCTTTTAGTAAGCAGCAGTTTGAATGCAGGCTATGATAGTGTTTCTCTATCTGTGGTAAATTAGTTAATTTTGTTGCAACAGGTCGTTCTGCAGCAGTAATTGGATTACAGGGTGAATTAACGGGACGACTGGGGAGGATAAAAAAAAAAAAAAAAAAAGTATAAATCATAATCTGTACCTCAGATGTACTTCTTGGGTAATGAATGGACCCAGAAAAAAGAATTTTTCTTTGTCCATTAATGACAATAGCTTTATGATCATATGTTACAGTAGCTATAACAGAAGAAACCCATGAACACAAAAGCAAGATTAATAATGCGATTAAGCTGAAGCTGCTCCCCCTTAACATTTTGTTTTGTAATTATTCTTCAACTTCTGACAAAGAAAATGGTAACCTAACAACTGCTTTTATAACAACATTTGAAGGCTGATTAGTGTTTCTCTACTTGTAAGATTAGTTAATTTGTTGCATAAGGTTTCTGCAATTAATTTACATGATAAGGACACTCCAAAAATAGGTTATAGAATACTTAATTTGTTTCAATTGACTTAATTAATAGTGTATGAATTGGTCCAAAACCTATATTTAGTGCTATTTTACAGATGATTCCCTTAAAACAGCAATTGAATTAACCCACATTAATCAAAATTATTATTAATCAAGTTTCCAGAATGCTTATTAATTAATTAATTAATTAATTAATTAAAAAAATAAATTAAGAGCTATTTTTAAGAAAAAATTCATAAACAGAATGTGAACGGAACATTAGCGTGACAGTTGCTGCCATCAATCTTTAGTTTTCTTTTACTTGAAGTTCATAAGCAAAGCGAGGCCATTATGAAAAAGAACATACTCTTACGTTATTGTAAGTTTTAGCTTTTTAACCTGATTGAAGCTTTTTCAGGCTATGGAGTTTCAAACACAATTTTTCTGCCTTTCTTTTTCAGTATTAAATAATTATTTCAAAAAACATCTACAGAAAGATTCATCACAAAAAAAAATTTTATTGGGGTAAAGGAATTCATCAATTAAGTTAATTCAAATTTTAATTTTTACTCGTTCTTATATATAGATTAGTTTTACTATTATATTAAATACTGATTATAGATAATGATAAATATAGATGTTGTACTAATTACAGGCAATGCTAAGTATAAGCCTCATATACCATTATTATCTTTTTCTTATGACATTATTTCAGCTAAGCGTTTAAGAAAAGTTAAGTTGCCATACACATCCATGGCTTGTATTTTTTTTTTTTTTTTTTTTTTTTTTTATAAAAAAAATCTAATGAGTGTTGTTACTCATTCCAAGTGTATGTGAATCATTTTTAATGACCAATTACAAGTTATAATTCAAGTTATAAGTTCCTTCTTGATTGGGAATTCCAGAAATACCAAGTTTCGTTTGAGGCGTGATTATTCGAGTAAGGTAAAACGACAATTGCGGATATTTGTTCAAGGACATAGTTTTTTTTTTTTTTTTTTTTTTTTTTGAATGAAAAAATCTAATGAGTGTTGTTACTTTCATTCCAAGTGTATGTGAATCAATTTTTATGACCAATTACAAAGTATAATTCAAGTTATAAGTTCTTACTTTGATGGGAATTCCAGAAATACCAGTTTCGTTTGGAGGCGTGATTATTCGAGTAAGGTAAAACGACAATTGCGGATATTTTGTCAAGGACATAGGCTACGGTCTTCCACAGCTGCTGTTCATATGAACAGTTCTTTGAATGCTTCACCATTAATGTATTTGTATTTGTCAAATAATATAAAAATATTTATAATTGCTTTTCATTTACTCTTGCAAAGAAAAGCACTAAAAATGCTTTTGCTTAGTTGAAACTTCAGCAAGCTAAATGCTTACATGTATCAATATCAGTATCTAAAAACTAAATCGTCTGCACCTTGCAGATTACAATAAGCCTAAACAATGATGTATAGAGCTCCTTGTATTTGACAAACAATAACTTGTTTATGTACATTAGGCACCTTTCCAACCACTTCACAATCTTTATTTGGCTTCGCCACTATTGTGCGCGGTATGTGTTTTTATATATGCTGCTTTTTGCCTCCGGAAAGAAATCGATTTTCTTGACAATATGAGCAGAAGCTTGAAATCTTATCAATGGTGTAATAACAAATCATATATTTACTCGAGATTTAGTAATTCCAAACTTATTTGGTTAGACGTGGTGCTTTATGGCTTTCAGTAGCAGACAGCCTCAACTGAAAGCTTTTTGGCAGTATCAGGACAGGGATCTCCTCCAAAAACTTCAGAAGCCACTGTTACTGAACAAGACTGCTTTCCAACGCACTTCTGCAAGAGGGCTCATCGAGTAAATTCCATATAGTGAAAGTAGTACTACTGATTAAGAATAACTACAGAATCCAAACAGACCAAGCATCAAAGGAATTTATTTATTCATTTACAATCAGTATACCTTTTCAAAAGCATTATATGACTTGTGTGCATGACAGCTCCCTTCTCGGAAGCTTCCACATGCCCCTTGAGGCACTCCATAACTAGCAAACTTAATCTGAGAGATCTTTTGTCCTGGAGGACACCACAAATGGGCTTTGGGTTGAAGGTGGTCGAGTTTGCCTAAGGCAATCATCTGCCAGTTCTTCAATGCTGGCTGTCCTTCGTATATGTCAGCACAAACTGTTCCGGTGGTTCTCTTTACCAAAGAAATTCCACTTGGGTTACCGCCAAATTCTTCAAAGACAACTAATAGATTTCCACTCGGGTTCAGCCAGGAGCGTGGAACATGGTACCTGGTATTCACATCATTAACATTATTATCACAGGTATTTAAACCAGGAAACAAATGAGAGCAAAACAAGCCTGAAAAATTTTACTCACCATCTTTGGGACGGCTCTCCACAATTTCTTCGGCATTTCTTATCATCGAATGTTCCAGCATAGTTACAATCTCCACAACTACCACGAGCAGTATATGCAGGCCAGTGACGTCCTATACTCTGACCATTTACCCATATCTGTCCTTTTCCCATGCTGCTCATATCTAAAGCTAATGGATCATTGCCTTCTGGTGCATCAAAAGTAGTCTGAAAATACCATGACATTAAATAAAATTGTTTAGAAAAACTTCTTGCATCTATTCCTGGTTGAAAATAAAGAATAATATGGAAAAGAAGTAATTAAGCATCAAAATAATTCCTACCTTGTACCATGTTAGTGGTTGTTTTGTGGCCAACAGTGATCCTTCTGCCCATTCAACTGATGAACTCCCGGTAACAGTATGAAGGTTTAATGCTTCGCCTTTCAAACCAATCTGCTAAGAAACGTAGAAATCAGTGATCTCTATCTTTTTGTACCTCAATATGACAAAATATTCAGCAGTGAAAACATGGGGAACAGACCTTATAAGACCATTTCCACCCTGACAGGTCTTTTGTCCCCTCATTCAAACCCTTCAATGTGACAGGGCCTAGAACTCCGGAATTCCATCTTTCAAAGTGCACACCAACATTCTAAGATTAACCAACATGACAACAGAATGAGTTCAATCAGCAGAACTTTCTGCAAACACTACCATTACAGTAAAAGAAAGACTCTTTAAAAATAAGGAAGAGAACTAACCGGGAGACCAACTGCAACACTCAACAAAGAAATCTTGTTAATACCGCTTGTTAGTTTCACATTCTTGCTAAATGTTACCTTAGGATTATCCAATGACCCATACACAGTTCCTGAGATAAGGCAAAAACTAACAAGTCAATAGAACAGAACACAGAAAGCAAAGTTGAAACTTGTTAATTAACAAATATATTCAATCCACCTGCTAGTTGATCATTAATGAAAACATGCAATGAATGGCCAGCTGAAAGAATTGTGAGAAGGGGATCCTGTCCATTCTTTAAAAATCCTTCATCAGGATCTATCTTGACACTGAAAACGAGCAGCAAATGTTTGTGAGAAAAATTATATTACAAAACCCACAGTTTCAAGGAATCTGCATGTCTCAAAAAAAGTAGCACGACAATTTAACAATATATTATACTCACTTCGTCATATACCACAGATAGTCTGTAGCATCCCTTGTGACATTAATTTGCTCCCACAATCCATCCAGTGTAGTTGTATCATCAGTATAACCAGAGGCAGCTTCTTCAATGTATGACTGCCAAGAAAATCCACTGCCAACTGGTGTCATCTTCATCTGTGTGCTTTGGGCACCCAGCTGTAGAGAAATCGGTCTTTTAATGTTAAAATTCATTCTTGCGAATCTTGTCTATATGCTTAGGGCTTAGGCTAAGCTGATTTTTCTTTTTATTATAAAAGAGAATTCCGTTTAGATGTTCATAAAGATATATAATTAGGTGAAACTGAAATGGACCAACAACCTATTTTTTGATGTGAAATAAGAAATAAATTATGATGTCTATCTCCAAGAATAGGCTACTTCTTACCCTTGCAGTATTAAAAACTGCAGTCTTGCAATCAGGAAGAATGCTGATAGACCATGGTGGCAGGTCATATTGCCCATTGCCAAAGGTCACTTTCACCGAGTACTTCGTGTCATAGTTTGCCAGGAATGCTGCACATGCCGACTTTGATTGGAAAACATGAGCCTAAAAAAATAATAATAATAATTAAACGGTGAGAAGTAAAATCACACAAGAAGAGATTGCACAATAAATGCATATTAGTGTAAAAAAAAATAACAATCCAAAAATTGAGCATACCTCTTGATTATCACCAAGTGATTTTACTGTGGGATCTACAGATACTAAAGCAGGTTCACATAGCTTGATGGCTTTATGAAGATCTCTCAAGTGTCCCCACTTTGGATCCCTTGGTAGTCCTGTTATCAAATTATTGTGAATAACATATTCATTTGCAATTTACATTCTTTACATATATAAATTCTGTTTTCATGAATTTTATCCATACAAGTTTATCAGTTGCTGCCAGCTGAGTTACACCATATTTTATATGTTATTTCCACACATATTGGTTGGTAGAGCCATTAATGTGAATGATTTATAATCAGTAGTAGGGTAAACAACTTTTTCGCAGCCTACTCTATCGGTACATACCATATTCATCAATAGGAGCATCATAATCATAGCTAGTTGCAATGAAGGGACCGCCAGCGGTTCTGCCAAAATTAGTTCCTCCATGGTACTACATAATAGAAAAATTAAAACAAAATTAGCAAACAAGCTCCTCTTTAGATTATTGCACCAGATGAATAAGCTTCCTTTGAAAAGATTAGCTTACCATATAATAATTCATGAATGAACCACCATTCTGTATAAATCTTGCAACTGAGAATGCCAAATCTTCCGCTGGCCTATAAGGTACTGAACCACCAAATTCAGTGTACCTGACAGGAAGATAAAGCAGACAAAATAAGTAAAAAGAATTAATATGATTATTGAATAAATCAAATTCAAGAAATTAGAAGGACTAAAATTACAATTAGAGAAGAAAGAGGTAACAGTAAAGTTTTAGTTGTTACAGTGATCATCTGTGTGACTTACCAGCCAGTCCAGTTTTCTGTCCACATTTTAGGTTTGTAATCCTTGTTTGGTTTGAAGTTTTCACAGTAAAAACCGTTACAGGTGTTAATCTGCACACAGTCACATCAATACCTATTTAATCTTTTACCAGAAAATCAAGTAAATATCTGAATATTTGATAGATAAGGAGACAAACTCATCATTTCCATCGTTAAAATTCCAAAATCCCAGAATATATCGAAACAAAAGACAAAAATAAGATATTCATATGACCCATAAGATTAAATTGAAAAAAGAGAGCAAGAAAATACTGTAGGGATCTTTATTTAAGGGCCACCTAACCTAATTAAGCACCAAACTACTATAAACCCCACCAAGAAAAGAGGGCTACACTGAATAAAACATACCAATAATGCCCACAAGAATATGACCCCATTAAAGCGAAAGGAAGCAGTTGAAAAATTGAGAAAATAACTTACAACAGGATCAGGGGCATCTTCTTGCTTGCACATGACCCATGGAACCCCAGTACCCAGACCCACTGCCATCTCAGCTGCCCATTTTGTATAAGCTTTACCTGGTGCACCAATCTCCCATTCTACTGGTCCAAATTCATTTTCTATCTGTTAAATATAAAAAATAGGAGGAAAAATTACTTTTAAGATACTTCCATTAAGTAATTGGCCGCTAATGAAAAATATGAAAATCAACAAAATAATCATAACCCGCTTCTAGAATGATAATAAATGACAAGCCTTAATATTCTTTACGCATTTGTAAAATTAGGTGGTTGATTTGACTATTTAAACTAACTTTTTGTCGAGTAATAGACCAATTGAAAACAAAATAAAGAAAAAATAATAAAAAGCAATGAAGAAAACTACAACCTAATTCTACAAACACAATAAGCAATAATAGCTTGGGGTAATTTTTCTTACTTGAGAAAGAATTATTGGACCTCCTTGAGTTTCAAACAACTTTTCTGACTTCATCATGCCCACAATCTTCTCTGTGAACTTTTGCATTGCCACCTTCATTGTAATTATCAAAATATCAAAGTCGATCTTTAAAATATGAGATTCACAAATTTGATTGGCGAAGACAAAGAGGATAAGAAGAAGGGTATTCAAAAAGACAATAAGATATTCCAACAACCAACCTTGAAAGGACCATTGTTGGTTCTGAATTCAATACCCGGAACATATTTTAGCCAAACTGGAAATCCCCTGAACCAGGAACAGAGCAAAAACAGAGAAAGTGAAAATCTTTAAACTTGTGTGAAAAAATGAAAACTTTGACTGAGATTTCTATGTTTATTATTCTCTGCAAAGATATTTAATATATTATTACCCAAAGTTCCATTCTGCGCAAATATAGGGTCCAATCCGCAAATGAACATAAAGTCCTGCTTGTTGAACCAACTTGATGAACTTCACCAGATCATACCTATCCTCAAAATAATACTGGTTTTTTTTTTTTTTTTAAGGAAATGAAAAGGCAATAGTCTTAGTACCAGAAAGTGGAAAAGAAAAAAGAAAAGGAACACTAGAAATTAAAACAGAATGCAATTTGAATTTACATTTCCAGGAGAAGGCTCATGTCCATTCCAGAAGACATAGGTTTGTATTACATCCAAACCTCCATCTTTGGCCTTCTGTATAAGATCCGGCCACATCTGCAATTACCAGAAAACCCAACAAATATTTTGAAAAACTAAACTTAAAGGCTTTAGAAATATTCCAAAGCAGAAACAAAAGAAAACAAAACCCATAAGTCAAAAATTGAATAAAATGTCAAGAGGCACAAAAACCAAGAAAAACCGTGAATCACATTGGACTTATATGTACCTCGGGAGTGCTTCTTGGGTAGTGAATGGACCCAGAAATAAGAATCCTTCTCTGTCCATTGATTGTAATAGCTTTATGATCATAAGACACAGAAGCTGTAACAAAACACACCCATGAAGCAAAAAACGAGAGCAGAAACAAAAACAAGCTTCCGTTTAAAATATTCTTCATTTGTTGAACTCTTAAAACTATCAAAGCAATGGCCTTTTCTCTTTTTATATCTTAATTCACTGCTTCCTCGCCTACATACGAGTAAAAGAATGAAAATGGAAGGAAAAGTAAGATACAGATTTGGGTCTTTCTCTACAGACTTTGTTTTTTGATTCTTTTGAGAAACAAAAAGAAAGAAGGAAACTTGGCAGAGTTTATAGTGTAATAATATAATGTGAGAGTGGAGTAGTGGAATTTGCTGTGGTTTAAGTTACTGGAATGATTATATAGCAGAGATGAGGAACTGTTTTTTATACCAGCACTTTGTGGGGTCATTTTTCGGCCTCGTGAAATGTGAATGGCTCATTCCCCTCCCTCACGGAGCTTAGGCTCCTAATTAAGTATCTTTATTTGGATTTTTGGGTCACTTTTTTTAAGCAAGAGCCCCTCCAAAAGGTGTGAGAGTATGTCTTTTAACTTCCATTTTTCTTTTTTTTGAGATCAAAACTTCCAATAATTTATACAATTTAAAGAGTCAAATTTTCTTTTTTAGATATATGGAATACCTTTTTGGTTTTTTTTTTTTTAGTTGTATTAAATATTTATGTATTTTACTATTTAGAGTAGAATCATATGGATCTAGTTATAAATAATTCATTTTGGGTTTAGATGATCAAAAAGAACAAGTCAAGGGTCTAGCAGAGGAAAATATTATATTTATCCTCATATACTATATTTTTTTTTTTTTTGTTTTGGCTTAGTTTAATATAGGCACTCAAAGGACATGCCTTTTCTTGCTATATGTTTCCTTTTCATTTTTATCTTAGATTAGCATAAGATTGAGATTCTATGAATTGGTACATATTTCTTTCCCTGCATATTTATTCAATTATGTGGTCATCCAACTAAATATACCAAGAAAAAATGAATTTTATTATTTATTTTATTTTTATATTAACAAATATTTCAATGACACTTAAAATTATGAGGTTATAAAACTCAAATTTTTTGTCAGCCCAACTAGAAAAATATTAAACAATATATTAATTCTTGATTAATTGAAAGTTTCCGTACTAATATAATATAGTGTAGTGAGATGCATAAATTTACTTTTATATTATTCATAAAAAAATTTTAATCCATTTAACACATCAATGTATAAAATTATATTTATTAAACACTTTAATTTACAATAATTATCATATTAAAGGTTGAAGTTCCAAAATTAGATCAATTAACACTTATTAAATAGTTAAAAAATATAAAAAATTAGTAATTATTAGCCACACATCAAATTAATATTTTACATATAAAATTAAAAATCTTAAAAATTATTTGTTATTAATGTGTAGAATTGTGTAATATTAGTAAAATTTATTATTTTAAAAATATTAATATATTTCTTGTAGAATTTGTGAAGTCAAAAAAAATGTTTTTGAAAAAAAATAGAAGTCTAGTTATATATTTAGCCGATGTTGTTGAAAATCTTGTTACCAAACACTTATAAAATACATATGAATTGGATTGCACACGTTTTCTGTCATTCACTCGATAGTCCAATATGACGTGGTTAGCTAAGCTATTTAATATCATATACTCGTGCCAGCTTTGGGAGGAAACTACTACATTTTGATGTCATGACAAATTTTGAAAAGTTTCTCAATTTAAATAAAAGTTGCAAGCAAGTGTTATTTGTTTTTGGATATGTATTGAATATTAAAAATTAATTATTTGTTATAAAATAATATAAAATTAGAGAGAAAAAAATGAATAAAAAGCAAAATACGAAAGTGTAATTATTATTGATGAGAAGTCACGTATATGGAGTTATATAAGTAGAACTTTAATAGAATCTTATACAAATCAAGAAGATAGAGTTCACAATAATAAAAAATACAGACTTCATAAGACACCTATTTATTTCATAAGATTATTGGTATTATTTTAGCAACAAGATGGTGGTGTTGCGGATTATTTCTTTTTATTTTTAATTTTAGAAGAGTAATTTTAAATTTGTAAATTGGTGCTTATTCAAATTATGAAAGGTTTTGTCTATAACATGTAGACTGTTTGATCTTTAAATTAAGCGTAAGTAAGGGTTCAGTTTATTTAAAATAAGTTTAAGTTACTTATTTGGTTTGATGGGATTTGAATATTGAATTTTTTTTATTAATTTTTTATTTTATTAAAAAAAACATATTATAATATATAAATATATATACTCAACATTTTAATTTGTAAAATTAAAATGATTAAACTTTTATTAGATAATTGAATAATATTAAGAATTATTATTTTCACAAATTTTGACTTACAAAAATTTTAGATGAGAAGTAAACTTGAGTCATTTCCACTTAAATCAATATGCATTATTTTTAACTTTTTTTTTTTTTTTTTTAGCCAAAGCTCTATTATTAGAAATCGATTTAAATTCTGGTAAGCCTTTTAGGCCCCCTCCTGTGCTGTGCTTTGCCTTTTTTTTTTTTTTTTTTAATGGAATTTTTTTTTTTTTTTTTTTTAATGGATAAACGTAAACTTTTAAAAATATATTAAAAAAAAACAACCTTAATTGCATGGTACGCAAACGATTACCCCCTTATCACAAGGCAATCTCAAACTCCGTTCAAAATGGCAACGGAACGACCGCACATTTAGTCAAAAATCACAATATTTTTTATCTTGATTTGCCAATCAGCTGCTCCCTTGTCTTTTAAGAATTTGAGACTAAGATCTTAGATTTGAACCGTTTTTTTGTTTTTTTAAGATAAATTATAAAATAATAAAATAGGATTAATTAATAGAATTAATCGAACGTCTCTCTAACCATAACATAAATAAAGTATCCATTGAAAAAAAATCAATAATTTTTTTACACATGGAACCTAATAGCCTAAAATAATATTATGGTTACCAACACGAGATTACTCTTCCCTCTAAATAACATCAACAGATTGATGATACATTTCATGATAAAAATAACTTGAACTAATACACGTATGTTTGCACATTTTCAACTCAAACCACCATACAATATATATGTATTTGAAAAATAAAATTTCATGTTTAACACTACTATATTATTCATTTGTAAATAATTAATTAATATGTAGAAAAGAAGTGTGTTTAAGTTGCTATAAATTGAAGCATCTTATGCTTCCCTAACACAATAATCCTTTAGATGTAATTAACACAGCAAAGTGCAGAAGGCACAAAGACTTTGAAAACAAGCCATATATCTGTATCTTACACACAAAATACACAGCACTAAACCATAAATGATAAATCCAAATCACATAACACTCAAAATCATGACAATATATATATATATATCTGTCTTTCATTTTTTTTTCCTGTGGAAGGAAAAAACTGTTATTAACTTATTGCAGTGGTTGTGACAACAACTTAGATTAGCCGACCCGGCGCCTACTTAATCAACAAGTTTCTTCGTTACTATGCACAATTTAGCAATTGTTGTTTTCACTATATTGTGTTTTTATTTTTCTCACGTCCTATATATAATATGTATGGAAATCGTGAAGTACCCGATTCAGATTTTGTTTACTATAAAAATTATCACCAATTTAGTAAATGCTGTTCAAAAAAAAATTATTAGATTAATTATTATATAACCGATAATATTCTTTTGACTTATTTAGTCTGCGTTACAGTACCAAACAATAAAAAATTACAGGAGGTTGCACCTAACAATGCCATTTTAATATTTAAAGAGGATTGTTTTTATATATATATATATGTAAAAATTTTAAAATGTAGTGAATTTATGTTGGGGAAAGAATCCTGCTTTATTCAAAGCAAGAGCTTTAAACGATGGATACTTAGCCTAATCCAAAGCTTAATAAAGCGATTCTGCAAATAATCTTTGCTTATCCCTGTCATTGTCAGATTGCATATTTGATATATATTTTTTTTGTCTTATGTTTTTATATTAGTAATATTCTTTAGCTTATCCCATTTCATAGAAATGGCATTATTATGTTATATATTGATGATTTGATTATATTTTTTTTTGTCTTATGTTTTTATATTTAGTAATATTCTTTAGCTTATCCCATTTCATAGAAATGGCATTATTATGTTATATATATTATATATATATATATATATTTTATAAATATTTAAATATTTATAAATATTTATTTCAAATATAAAAGAGTAGAAAATTAAATTACAATCAATCACGGGAAAAAGTGATATCAATTCCATTATGTTTAAAGTATGTTCTATTACTTTTTTAGCTTTTAGACATAATAAAAGAAAGAAAAAAATATTAGTAATTTTTTATTTACAGCACGTTTAATTTATCAAAAATGATTTTAAGGCTTATTTGCACGCTTAGTTTCTAATTTTTTTACTTTTGTTTGTTTATGACTCTACGAGTCTCTATATACCTAAACCTCATAAACAAACTAAAATTCAAAAACAGCACTACCTAATTAATATTACTGTTTTATCAGGTTTTTTTAATTTAATATTACCGAATTAAATTCAGATATATGGAGAGACCTATTTGGTTCGGACGTAAATACTTCTGTTAAGTTTTTGCTAATAATAATTAAAAAAAAAAAAACATTGCTGATAAAAAAAATTCAAAACAACAATAATTAGAAGAATATAAATCAAAAAGTGGTGGATAGGTTCTTGTGGTCTTGCCAATCAGTCCAATTGAGTAACAAACAGAGGTCATCGGAAAGCTTCATTTTCAATACATTTTTTTATTTTTGTTTTTTTTATTAATATTCGTGTTTCTATACTCGATCGAAATGTTATTTTATATAAAATTTTAAAAATTACCTAATTTTATATAAATAAAATCGATTTAAATATGTATTCAACTTCTGTTATCTGTCTCTTGCTGACATGTGAACAATTGAACATAAGCCAGCCCGAAACTCCAAAATCAAATCAGGTTCGTCAAAATCAATTTTGTTAAGTATGATGTATGTGATCACAGGCTGAGCCAGGTACACCCTTATCCAGTATCAATGTTAAGCCGTACACGTATGTTACATTTGGTAAAGTGGGTCCTAGGTTTTAGGTGATGTGGATTCGTATGGTCATGGCAGTTCATTAAACTATTGGGGGGTATAACTGGTCAGTTTTGGGCTAATTAGTAGGACCGTAGGACCCATTCGTTGGTTTTAATCCATTCATATAAAGAAGAGTGAGGGACCCTATCTGGCTATCTAACGAATATTGTCCCCTAAATCCATGTGTCTTTTTTTTGAATTGGATTGCATTTTGGACCAAACATGTACTTAAGTTTGCTATCCAACCATACTT